AGTATCATTTATTGTACTGGTAGGAATATCAAGCTGAGCAGAAATAACTTTTTGTTTAATGCCACTAATATATGCACTAATAATTTGCTCACATTGAGCAACTGATGGCTCTTTTCTATGCATTTTAAACTAGTAAAGTAATAAAATTAATTCATTTTGTTATTTTCTTTATTTATATGTAAAATAAGGAGAAATCCGCAATTGTGAAATTGGCATGCAGAATCATGTGACAAAATCCAGTAAATTATTGTAGGCCAGTGTATGTCAATGCCCTTATTTCCCATATTTATGGTCATTTCCCCAGTATATATTAGTTAATCACAAGAGAAACAGATAGCCAGCCCTATTGTAAGAGCATATGAATTCCCAGATGGGAGTTGGGTCAATCTTCTTGCTTCAAGATATCTTTTGCCCCCTCCAGTGGGTAAAAGGTCGTAATCTCTGAAATACTTCAAGCAAGACCAAATTCATTCTTTCCACTCACCAGGAGTTTCATTGGTGCAAACTTGGGGCATCCGGCAATATTCAAACCAGTGTTGGAAATTGAGTGCGGGGGTTTGTGTTACATATTGAATTTAGCCAATCAACGTTAAAATTTCTACCAGAAGAACAAATTTGATTGGCTAAATTCAATATGTAACACAAACTCCCGCACTCAATTTCCAACACTGATTCAAACCATTCATTATTACTGCATTTAGAACCAGAATAAGCTATTAATCTGCTAAAATCAACCATTTATATGTTATAAGTGTATATGATTTAACAAGTTATAATGTTATTTAGGGTTTTAGACCTATTAATTTTATCAAGTATATACACATCTAAAACCCGATTCATTTTTTGTGTAAATTCTAGTTAAGGAAATAAAGTTTCGAATATATAATTAATCATTTTGATATAAAGTAATCTAAAGTATACAAATAGATAAAAAAATCATGTGCGCGTTCTTTTTCAGAATGCCAATCACTTACTAACTAATCAGAAAAAAGTAGTATAAAGACAATTTATTTTTAAAACATATATTCTTCACTAACATTTCCAAAAGTGATACTCAAAGTTGATCATGAACCATGGTTCACGGTTATCACATTTGTTACATCTCAGAGTCTGAAATTGGCTATGATAAAAAGTCTGATAGGTTCTATATCATTAAATTATTTTCAATTTCATGATAAAGTATGCATTAATTAATTAAAAATGAGTGCTGATTAATTAAGAAACTCACCATTAAATTGTTCACAATAGCAGGATATGAATTCAATTCACCTGAATATGCATAGCTGTGCCAAAGGTTTAATCTATAAAAACAAGTTATAGGTTAATATCAAGTACTATAAATTTTATATTTCGAAAAAAAAATCATTCGTTAAAAATGGATACCTCAAGAAGATTTGCTTATAAAATAATTTTTACGAAACAACACCTTCTTCTATTCCATCTGATATGAGCCAAAGGCTTGAAAATGTATTATCTCTTAATCCCGAAGAACCTAACATTTGTCCTGTATGTGAAATTGAAATTTCTCTACAACTTAGTGTACCAATTACAATGTTAGTGTGTAAACATACTTTCCGCCACGATTGCATCGTAAATAGAACATCTACTGATTGTCCAATATGTGAGATGGTAGCCGAACCAAGTCAGACTTCTTTTGTGGCTGATATATTAGGGGAGAATCTACAAATAAGCTCATTAGGAAATCCATCAGAAAAATTACAATAATCGTCAGAGGAGGATGATGAAACCAATAATGAAGTATCATCAGAAGAGGTCTCATCAGAGGAGGAATCATCAGATGGGAAAATTCTTGAAGAAACACCAAAGCAACCTATAATTACATGTGGGCAAAAAATAATACAGGGTTTAATATTAGAATTATCTGTACCTACTGAAGGTGTTTAGTTTGCTGAAACTAGTAGTAATGAAGAGTGTTCTAATACTGAAACTACAAACCCTTCAGCACCGACTATTGCCCGATTTTTCCAAAGAGCGTTATGAGCTGAAAAAGATACGATTCAAGGGAATCAAAAAGAAATTCGGTCCTGGTATCAATATGCTGAGATGCATGAAAACAAAGCTAACTATATATTAGCTAATGAGCATGTCACTATTAAAACAAGACACAAAAGGCAAAAAACATATATAAGTTGTTTAGTAAGATAGGGGAGGATAAGATTGGTTTAATTGAATCATATAGTGCAGATTCTATCTCTCATCTCACCATATTTCAAATTCAAAGTATCATAGACTGTTTTTCATCTGGATCGTAAATGTAAAATAAAATTTATGTATAGTAATAGTAATTAATATCTGGGAAAAAATCGAAAAATAAATATGCATAATTTTAGTCACTATGTAACAGAACAAGAATCTAAATCATGTATAGTTGATCCGATTTTGAGATCCCTGCATATAATCGCACAACTATATCAATTGACCTCTTACACGTTCTATGTGGATTAGACTATATACAAACATAAACATTAATATATGCTGATATTAATATATAGAATTCAGAGCATATAATTTTCCATCTTTGTTCTTTGTTCCACGTAAGGTTGCTGGTGGAACCTATTCAGATAGTTACGCCGGTTTTGACATTGCACCATTCACCAATCGGCTTTGGCGCAACCGTTGCAACTGGTGAAACTATTGCAACTGGTGAAACTGGCGCAACTGGTGAAATGAAAATCATACTAAATTAATACTAGTACATAGGAAAAAAAATTTTAAAAAAAAAATTCTTTGATGTTAATAAAGCGAACTTTTCAACTGTAACTAATTAATTGGTAAGCACCGAATATTATTGC